CCCCAAGACCGCTCCAAGACGGCTCCAAGTGGCCAAAGAGTTCCCCCAGGACTTCCAAAACCTTAGGAAAATACATGTTCTTGGCTTTCTCGCCTTTTCGCTTCCGATGGCCATCCGAGGCCTCAAGATGGCTCCAAGATGGCCCAAGAGGGCCCCAAGGGAGGCTCAAGAGAGCCCCAGGACGGCCCCAAGAGCGCCCAAGAGCGCCTTAAGAGCGGCCCAAGAGCTCCCCAAGAGGCGACTCGTCCAGCTCCCGAGGGGCAATGCTGATTAATGCGACCCTGTTGTTTGATCGATCTCCTCCAAGATGACCCCAATAGCGCTCCCAAGGCCCCCAAGAACGCTTCAAGAGGTCCCCAAGAGGCGCCCAGGAGGCCCCAGGAGGCCCCAACAAGCGCCCAAGAGGCCCCCAAGAGGCTCCCAAGAGACACCCAAGAGGCCCCAAGAAGCTCACCGAGGCACCCAAGACGCTCCAAGAGGCGCCCCGGACCGCCAAGAGGCCCCCAAGACGCTCCAAGAGGCCGCCACTGGGGCACCCTTCCTCTGTGTGCTGCCCACTTCCCTGATCGAGGCAATTCCTCTGGGCATCGCTTCTGGATGGGCTGGTGGGGTTACTTTTTAGCCAGCAGCCGCAGGCGAGAGCACCAGCGGCGAGTCGAGTCCGAGCGGGGCGCGCAAGAGCCGAATTAACCAAGCAGGAGCAAACCTAATGCCGCCACTCAGAACGGGACCAGGAGGAAGCTGGAGAGGGGGGCGGATCTGCTGCACTGCCAGGGGCTGCAAACATGCAACGGGCTGCAGAGGGGGCTGACTGCCAGGGTGACCGACTGCCAGGGTCTGCAAGCTGCTGGTGAATTGGATGCAAAGGGTGGGCACCCGAGGGACTGAGGAAGTACCAGGGTGGCCTGAGCCAGGTGGGCCGGAACCACCACGAAGCGAATTGCGAGCGGGTGAGTTGGCCAGCCGAAGCTGAAGCGCAGCCAAAATGGCGCGCAGGAGCACCACGGTGCGACCAGGGTGGAGCACCTCAGTGTAGGCCCAAGTTGCCCGCCAAGGTCTGGCGAGTGCAGGTGGTGGCGCCAGCAAAGTCGCACACCAAAGCCCCGTAGGGAGAGGGGGCGCAGTCCGCGGCCGACCAACCAGGGATGGCGACTGTCGCGAACAGAACACAGGCAGGCAATGAGAGAGCGACCCCGACCACATTGGCCGTCGGCAGACCAGGGCGGGACGACCCCTGTACGCCTGGGCGGCGCGACCAGTGGCGCGCACCGCAGAGCCGACCACGGGGCGGCAGGAGGGCGGACGCCAGCGCCGCGGCCAAAGCCGCGGGCGCAGCGTGGGGGAGACACGGAGAGATGACCAGGCTGAACCACGGGCACCCGTGGCCCCCACCCTCGAGGGGAGAAAAACAACGATTTGCGCGGGATGAAGGAACCGGGGCTGGTGGGGAGAATCGCCCCACAGCCACTGGCGAGGGAACCGGGAGAAAAACCGCGGGGGGGCCGCCCCAGCACGGGAGGGCGCCCGGGGGCGCGAGGGGGGGGCGCGCCAAGGGTATTTGCTACGGCTGCAGCGGACCCACGAGCCAGTAAGCCAGCAGGCTGCTGCCAGGGCCCCGAGGGCGCGGGGCAGCAGGAGCTGGGCAGAAACACTACCAGCTGCTGCAGCCGGGGCGGCCTCCCGTCCGTGTGTCCCTTCCTCCGCATGCTGCGCTGACCGTCCAGGAGACCTCGCTGGGACGTATCGTCAGAGGTTGACCCGACTGGATCTCGGCCGCTAGCCGCGTACGCGTCAGAGAAGACAGGGGGCGGGTCTTCAACGTCCCCGGGACGGGCTGGGTGGGCTGCGAATCCCGCTGCCGATGCCTGCGTCATGGCTGACGGTTGCCTCTTCTGGTCTGGGAGATACCGGGGAGGGGAGGGAGACCTGTCGCCACACTGCTTCCTTCTGGCCTAACGGGCCCTGTTCCTCTTGGTGAGACCGATGAGACCATGACCCCGCTTCCTTCTGGCCTACCGGGCCCTGCTTCTCCTTGTGAGGCCTGCTGGCCACCAGGGTTGCCCGTATGGACATCAGGACTCGGGCGTCGGACGCCAAGGGTGCCTCGTTCGCCTGGGGGGACAGAGTGTGACCGTCCCTCCAATTCCTTCTGGCCTAACGGGCCCTGCTTCTCGTTGTAAGACCGATGAGAACGCCACTCCGATTCCTTCAGACCAAACGGGCCCTGTTTTTCCTTGTGAGGTAACGGAAAGAAAGAGGTACGAGTGATGACGTTCTGGTGTGGGCAAAGCGGCAAAGAGCGCGTCAAGAACTTGCCCGCGATAGCTCGCGCCACCGTGCGTAATCACAGCCTTCGTGCTGGAAGCGATGTCGTCTCACACCACTGTGCGTAGTCGCAACCTTGGCGTTCGAAGCTCGTTACGTCATCGTTCTTAGCGGGAGCCTTGGCGTTAAGAGTTCCACCAGCCCTCTGGGCGTCGGTGGTTTAGAGCGTTTCCTCTTCCACCCCTCCTTCTTCCCCTTCGGGGAGGGGTTTACCCCTCCCCCTACCCCCTCCCCACTGACCTGGACAGGGGGGGCGGGGAGCGGTCAGAGCGTCCAAAACGGCCTCGCCGAGGAAGCCAAAATCATTGATTTTACTAAGGTTTTGGCCCCATGTTGGCCCCCAGAGGGGGCAGCACTAATTGAAGATCCCCTCTTCTTTGATCGATTTCCTCCAAGATGGCCCCAAGAAGCGCCCAGGAGGCACCAAGAGGCCCCAAGATGGCCCCAAGATGGCCCCAAGAGGCCCCCAGGAGGCCCCCAAGAGGATCCCAAACGGCCCAAAGAGGCCCCCCCGAGGCACCCAAGACGCCGAAAAGCCCCTCAGGACGACCCTCTACTCGCCTGGGCGTCGTTTCTGGACGGGCTGGTGGGGATACGCGAAGCGTCTAGAATTGTTTCGCGTTACCCTTCGCTCTCGAGAGCCGTGGCGTTGAACGACTTGTCACCTCCTCCTCCTCCTCCTCCTCCTCCTCCTCCTCCTCCTCCTCCTCCACCTCGTCCGCCTCCTCCTCCTCCTCCTCCTCCTCCTCCTCCTCCTCCTTCTCCTCCTCCTGCTCCACCTCTTCCTCCTCCTCCTCCTCCTCCTTCTCCCCCTCTGCCCCATTCCCCATCCATCCTCCCCCTCCCCCCCCCCTCCGCCTCAGCCTCTTGGGAGTGGACCTCTTGGAGGCCTTTTGGGGGCTGGCCGAGAGGGCCCCGAGACGGCCCGAGAGGGCCTCAAGACGACACCAAGAGAGGCCCAGAGAGCACCACGAGCCTCCCAAGAGAGGCCCTAGAGGCCGCCAAAAGAGCCCCTAGAGGCCGCCAAGAGAGGGCCCTCTTGGGCCGTCTTACCGGTAATGGGATAAATCTGTCTCTCCCCGCTTTCGCCGTTGGGAGCCTTGGCGTGGAGAGCTTTCTGCGTTACCGATCACTCTTTATTTGGCGTCCCTGGGTCTTCTGGGCCGTCCTCTTGGGGCCTATTAGGGGCTCTTTTGGACTGTCTTGGGGCCCTCTTGAGCCGTCTTGGGACCTTTCGGGACGTCTTGGGGCCTCTTCGAGGCCTATGGCCGTCTTGGGGCTCTGTTGGCGGCCTCTTGGAGCCCTCCTAGGAGCCTCCTGGGGCTCTCTTGGGGCTCTCTTGGGGCCGTCTGTGGACCCTGTCGGACCGTTTGGGGACCATCTTGGTCAGTCTTGGGGCCCTCTTGGCAACTTTCGGACCCTTCCGGGGACCTCTTCGGCAGCCTTGGGACGATCTTTGGAGCCTCTGAGACTGCTTTCGGCTGTTCTTGGCCAGGAAGAACGAAAACCCAAACATGATCGACCCACGAACCCAGAAACGAATATAGACATGTAAGGCATGGCAACGTTTCAAAGACACCTGATTGGGCAACGGGCAAACGCAATGCTGAGTGTATCGATGTTGATGTACCGTGCCGAGGGCTGTGCTGTGCAGCGCCGTGCTGAATTGCGATGTGCCATGCCGCGGTTGTGCTCTATAGCGTTGTGGATCGAGTCCTCCTTTGCATCCGAGTCCTGACCGAACTGATCTGGATCTTAAGATCGAGCTACCTCAGCACATAGTCGCTGCCCCAGAGCTAATTGACAGGGGAACATGCCAGGAGGACGCGCCGCGGAACGTCCCAAGGGACGCGCCAGGCGACGTGCCAAGGGACGTGCCACGAAGACGCACCGCGGGACGTGCCGAGGGGACGCGCTACAAGAGCCCAGAAAGATCGCCCAAGAGGCCTCCGGGACGGCCCAAGAGGCCCCCAAGACCGCACCAGGAAAGCCCCCAGACAGCCCAAGAGGCCTCCATACGGCCCTGGAGTAACCCAAGAGGGTCCCCAAACGGCCCAGAGAGGCCCCCTAAAACAGCTTCCGACAGCGTCAGACGGACCAGGAGCCCACCAAGACGGGCCAAGATGGCTCTAAGATGGCCCAAGACGGCCCCAAAGGCCCACAAGAGGTCTCCAAGAGAGGCCAAAATCATTGATGTCTCTTTGGTTTTTGAAGGGTTTAGGCAGTTGCTTCTTTACGGCCTTCCGACGGCCCGAGACGGCCCAAGAGCCCAGAATGATTGCCCAAGAGGCCTCCAGGATGGCCCCAAGAGGGCACCCAGACGGCCCAAGAGGCCTCCAAGACGCCCAAGATGGCCTCCAAGACGGCCCTGGAGCACCCCAGGAGGGCCCCCAGTCGGCCCAGAGAGGCCCCCAAGACAGCTTCCGACAGCGTCAGACGGACCAGGAGCCCACCAAGACAGGCCAAGATGGCTCTAAGATGGCCCAAGGCGGCCCCAGAGGCCCACAAGAAGTCTTCAAGACGGCCCAAGAGGCCTCCAAGAGGGCCTCCAGGAAGGCCTGAAGAGGCCAAAATCATTGATTCGCCTAAGGCTTCCGAAGGAGTTTGGCATTTGTTTCTTTTCGGCCTTCCGACGGCCCGAGACGGCCCAAGAGCCCAGGAAGATCGCCCAAGAG